ATTTGGGAATTTACCAGAAAGGCCAAATAAATTGTTGTCTTTACCCATTGCGGGAAGATGAACACAACTCACACATTTTAAAATAGGGGAATGCTATCCCAAATAAATAGTAACGTCTTTTATTTTTCAGAAAGCTATAACTATGAATGCCATCAAGAACGTTCTTTTCATACTGCTTGTTGTAACAACAGTTTGTGGTAGGTCGTATTGTATTCTGATTTTCTATATAAGATCAACTTCTCGAATTCTTTGGGTAAAAACGGTAGCAAAAATAAATATTTGCTAGGTTTAACAACTTTTGTCATCTTCACAAAATAAATCTCTGTCACTGTTTTCATAGCTTTGACCTAATTTTGATCATAGCCTGTAGAAATCATATCTTTGTGTATCAAAATTAACAAAGGAATTCATATTAAAACGAGCAAAGTGCTGTGTCATTGCTTGGTGAAGTGATGGGTCACAGTAATTACAAATACAATTCTAATTAATAATTAAGAATACAATTATATCATAGTTTGAAAAAAATATTACTTGGGTTTATCAGGCAAATTGAAATTTTAAGTTAAGTTATTCATACTATATAGTTGTCTTATCGTGATTTTGAGAATCACATGGTTATTGCACTTCAACATTTCAGAAGTATGTGCGGCTTTTAATTGCTACGACTGTGACTACCATTACATCTATGGTGATGATGAAGAATGTTTAAAACCTGGTGACAGCACAGACCACGAACAATGTAACAGTTACTGTTCGGTAAGTAAATTCACGTCTTTCCCTTATAGTGTTTATGCTGATGATTTAAAAACCCTTGTTGCATTGATAGACAAGACAGTAAATATGACGATACAGTCCCAGATATTACTGAGTATTGTTGATTACGCGTTGATTCACTGTGTGTAGCTAGATACGCGTAACTAATCATAGAACAGATAATACCATCACTTTTGCATCTATTTTGGGTTTCTGAATCCATTCATTGTAGATTTCACTTAGTTTGAAAGCTTTCTAGCTTATAAATGTGGCTGGAAA